CCTTATGGGTTCTGAATTGCTTGACAGCAGGGCTTGTTCATCACATCATTTCCTATCCCTGCCTTCCAGAGAGTTTCTATTTTAGAGTGAAAAATGTCATTGTCTGGGCGCCATGGTCCTGGGAAGTTGCCTCAAACCATTCATTAAAACTAAAGACAGTGGAGTACATGATTAGGGATCTCTTGGGGGTTATGATGAGAGAGCCAGAAATGAAACCCAGCCTTAGATAACAAGCTACAAAGCTGAAGACAGTGATTCTTTGGGGAGCAGGTCATTACAGGCCCTTGTCTGGGAATGGAGCATCCAGGTGGTGTTTGACTGTGGGGAGCCCTTGCAGCTCAGCAGGGTGACAGGCAGGCACGGTTTGACTGTGTCCCTCACGTGGCATTAGAAACACAAGCAGAGTTACCCTGAGCACCTGCTTCAATTAAAAGTGGGGAATATGACCTGAGTCACCTGGGAGGGTTGGAAAATGTCAACCAACTCCCCACCAGTGTCAGGGAAGCATTCCTGATGAATCCCTGGTGGAGCTGCAGAGTTTCTGGCATTGGGCACTGGGCGGGCTGTGCTGGCTCATCAGTGGCTGGCTCTGCCCCTCGGTGCCTCAGATCTCACCTTTTTGCTTGCCTTCTCTGTCTTTTCCACTCCCACTGTGCTTTTTGCATCCCCACAAGATGTAAATCCCTGTCCTCTGCAGTTCCTCAAGGGAAGCAGTTGCAGCTGCTGCAGCACCTCAGTGTCATCCCTGGGCTGCCTTTAGAACAGATCTGCTCCAGCTTGGATTGGGAAGGGCTGGATCAAGCCATTTCTCAGTTCAGCATTCCAGCAGCCACCCAGGGGCTGCATCCTGACCATGAGCTGCTCGTGCAGCTGTTCCTCCCTCCCCTGCAGATCCCTGTTCATAGTGTGAAAAGTGTATATTATATGGCTCTATGCAGATATTTACCATATGTATTTTGATGTATTGATTAGTAGTGCTGTATTAACATTTTTAATAATAGATGTACTCTTGTAATTAAAAGGTAACTTTTGTAGTTACAATAAGAACTTTGTTAGTGGGGTTTTTTTTTTAGAAAGAAATGAGGCACTCGCACCAGATAGCAGCCACAGGACACCTAAATCTTTCAGAGAAAAGAATTTATTGCCTTCTTACCAGAAGAAATGAACTTCTTCTGCCTTTAAGGCGCTGTTAGGATTAGAAAGAAGAAGTTGATGAAGACCAGACAGAGTCCTGTGTTTGAATGGAATTTATGCATCATGTATGAGGTGTATGAATATGCAACAGGCTATTGCTTTTAAGGGTTAATCCATTGTTAACGGGTGTCCGTTTTCGGGCTTGTGCTGCCCAAAAAAAGGTACCCAGACGTCTGTAACTCTTTGTATTTGTTGTCTCAAATTGTCCTAATTCAAATTGTCCAAATTATTATTACTCTAATTGTATGACTATTTTACAACCATTTTATTACTAATAAACTTTTAAAATTTTGAAAACAAGTGATTGGCGTTTTTCACAATAGTTATCTTATTTTCCAGACATGAGCTCTGCCCACCTAAATTCAAACCCCAACCACCAAAGGGGAGGAATACCAATTTGGAGTCCCCAGCATCTCGATGGAGACACTTCAAGGTGAGACAGGAGGAGGGAGCCAGAATGCTGAAAGAAGTGGATGATTTTAGCCAGTCTTTAAGAGACAAGGTCGATTTTCTTGTACATCTACTGCTTGTGTTGCCTCCCCAGCCTGCCACCACCAAGTCATGCTCGTGCTGACCTCCCTTTTTGCTGCCCTGCTGTCCTGTGCCCTGACAGTGGCCTGGGCAGCAGGGCCAGTGGCTGGACATGGGCTCTGTGGGAGGGAGAAATAGGAGAGTTTTCCTTGGAGAAGCTCACTCAGATCCTACAGACCTGTGTTGAGTGTGGGATTTTTTGCCTTCCCAATGTAAGATGAGGCTGGGATGATCCCGATCTCCATGGAGCCTCTTCCCAAGGCAGCCAGACTCCTGTTTGCAGGGCTCTGCTTTCACCCAGAGCTGCTATTGCACTGCTGGCCCTGAAGCTGTCTTACAAACTGAGACTTTGCAAAGTGGCTGTCTCTTCCTCCTAGCATTGAAAATGGCTTGTTTTTCAGGTGCAAGCAGCACAAATTCCTGAATACCCTCGCCTCCAAGTGGGGTTTGAGGGAGTCACTTGCTCCGTGGATGAACCGCAGACTTCCCTCGAAGCGCAGGAGGTAAGAGGGAATGTGTCTCACTTGCACACTGTCAGTGTGGCAAGCAGGGCTGCAGCTCCCAGTGCCACTGGTGGCCCTCAGCATTGGCCACAGAGGGGCCTCCCATCCCTGCAGGCCCATCACAAAGTGCTGCTGGAGCAGCTGGTAGTTGGAGAGGCTGTGCAGGACACCTTACTGTAGGGCTGCCCAAGGACACTTTGCAGCACCTATGGAGGGCACTGCTCTCCCTGGAACTCCTCAGGTGGCCCATAGGAAATTTTTGCAGGAGCTTTTGCTGTAGCACCTTGAGAAAGCAGCATTTAAATCAGAGAGAGGGGAAGAGCCACAGGAGTCAGATGAGCTGGGCTGGAGTCCTTTGCTCAGCTCCAAGAGCTCTCACTCTGAGTCTCCTCCTTTTCTAAAAGCAGTAAGAAATGCTTTTTAAAGGCAAGTTGTGCATCAGAGAGAATTTCTACTGCCAGGAGACATCCCAGTTCACTTTCCTGTAATGTACTAATTAATGCATTGATCTGTGAGTATGGGAGAAGATTTTCCCCATGGTCCCTCCACTGGTCAGTGGCAGGGATGCAGGATGAGATGAGGGTGATTCTGGCAGTGTTTGGGGAATAGGCCCCTCCAGGTACAGCTGCACTTTGCTCCAAGATGCTCTTCTGCATCCATTGCCATGCTCAACAGCTCAATCTCTCCTGTCTTCCATCCAGGCTTTCAGTATCCTGCCAGTGTCAGGTGTGCTGCAGCCAGGAGAGAGCCAGCAGGTCTCCTTCACCTTCTGTGGCCACCTCAACACCATCGCCGATGTCACGGCGCTGTGCCACGTGGAGGGAGGCCCCACCTACGAGGTGCTGGTGACCGGGGAGATCTCACATCTCAGCTACCTCGTGAGGCCCCAGGAGATCAACCGTGGCTTACAGGTACCACACACATCCCTGGCACAGCTCCTTGCCTTGGCACCACGGCCAGCGGGTTCCTGCCCACTCGCTCCAGGGCTCCCTGCCCTTCCCAGCCCCTTTGTTGGCTCTGGGGCTTGGAAGTCCAACCTTTGAGGGACACATCTGGCATCCAAGCTGCTGTAAAATGGCCATCTCCAACCCTCTCCACAATGCTGGGAATGCCTCTTTTTCAGGGTACCTAACACTGCCTCCTGGGGCAGGCAGGGGCCCAGTGGGGATGCTCTGAGGGGTGTGTCCCAGAGACATCCCTCTGCTGGTCCACTCCTAAAGCCTGACCTCCAAGGAGATGCTCTTGTCTAAAGCTCTTGCTTAATCCACACAATGATCAAGGAAAGAAGTTGGGCTTCCAGTCACTACAGTTGGAGAGACTGTCCCAGAATAATCCCCACTTCACTCTCTTCCAGTCAAAAGCCCACAGATATTCCCAGCTGCTGGCTCTGTCTGTGTTGCCCTGGGTGACTCCCATGTTGCATCCATGTTGCTTGCCAGTACTTGCATGCAGGTGCCTTTTCTCCTGGAATGCCTCAGTGCTGTCTCTGTTTCTCCTGGCTGTTGGTGACCCCTCAGAGGGCAGAGGAGGGCCTGTGTCCCCTGGTTCATTTATTGCTGGCCCTCACGTGGTTGTTACCACAGCTCTGTGTGCTGCCAGAGCTCCCTGGTGCTGTGCAGGTGCCCTGTGCCTGGGCATTCCCCGGGTTCCCAAGTGCCCCTATCTCCTCCCTGGTCCCTGCTCCCATGATGTGTCGGCTTTCAAACCCAGGAGGGAGAAAGGAGATTCTCAGCAGCAGGCCCACGTCTGTAACTTCCCTCTCCTGTGCCTTCTTTCCAGCTGTTTAATGAAATTCGTCGCAGCAATGTCACCCTGGTGAACACTGGCAAGATTGAATTCAACTGGGTGCTAAACCCTAGCCCTGCAGACCAGCATCTGCCTGGTGTGTTTCTGGTCAACCCCACCACTGTAAGTAGCACAAGTGACTGAGCCCAGCCCTGTGTCAGGTGGCCCAGGAGAGTGTGAAAGGAAAAAAGAAAGGGGGGAGGTGGGAAAGGGGAAAAAAATCAGAGGGGAAAAGCCCAAACCCAGCCATGAGAGAGACAGGGCTGTAAGCAATTTCTGCTGGGGCCAGAGAAGGTCAAACAAGTGCTCTCCTGACAGACTCCCCCAGGGCCTTGGCTGGTGGGTGGCTCTGCTGTCAGAGGCGACACCGGCGGGAGGCACAGGTGTGTGGGTCACTGTCCTGTCCTGCTGTAAGGGGAGCAGAGGAGAATTCTTTTTGATAGATTTCTCAGATGAAAATAAGGCACAAACGCAGCAAGTGTTGTATCTGAAAACTGTTTGTTGATAAAGAAAGGGCATGGTCCCGACCAGAGGGGGGACAGAAAAGAGAGAAAATGAGAAATGGAGAGAGCAACGGAGTACAGGGACAAAGCGTCACCGCTAGAGCCCTGAGGCGCTGTGTCAGCTCCTGCTCAGCAGATGGAGCGTGTGCTGCCAATCGTACCGGAGTGCGTGCCCGCCGCGGCGTGAGGGGCTGGATCGGCCGGCAGCGGGGCCGGGCTGGATCGGCCGGCATCGGGGCCCAGGCTGGATCGGCCGGCATCGGGGCCCGGCTCCATGGGCCGGCAGCGGGGCCGGGCTGGATCGGCCGGCATCGGGGCCCAGGCTGGATCGGCCGGCATCGGGGCCCGGCTCCATCGGCCGGCATCGGGGCCCGGGCTGGATCGGCCGGAGCGGGGCCGGGCTGGATCGGCCGGCAGCGGGGCCGGGCTCGATCGGCCGGCAGCGGGGCCCGGGCTGGATCGGCCGGCAGCGGGGCCCGGCTCCATGGGCCGGCAGCGGGGCCCGGCTCCATCGGCCGGCACCGGGCCCGGCTCCATCGGCCGGCAGCAGGGCTGGCTGTCCCACGGGCTGCGGCCGGGCCGGGCTCAGCAGCCGCGGTTTGTCCCGGTCGGGACACGGCGGCTGCTCCCTCGGGGAAGCAGAGGAGCACTGGGTTGCCGTGGCGAGCGGGGAAGCGGCAACAGCAGCGTAGACAGACAGGGAAGAAGCGGCTCTGCAGGGAGCCGGACCCTCCGGGTGCTCCCAGCCCAACAAAATAACTAAATCGGCAGGGAAAAACTGTCAGTGTTAACTGCTATTATATGCTGAGATTTCTCCCATAACTCAGCCCGTCTAGGACTTTTTTGCTCAGACGGGCAAAATTTTCCCGGGCTTCGGGGTCTGTCTGTCTTTCTCCAAGGGGGAAATCTCTTGCAGCCCCCCAGACACAGAGCCTGTCTGCATTTCCTCCTAACAACCTCCTTTACATATGGGATGTGTTAAGGCTCCCAGCACGTCTACAGCCCCTCTAGTAACTTTTCACCCCATGTCAGAAAGTGGATTTATAACATATGTTGAGGCATAACTAAAATTTTAATTGGTTGCTCACAGTCACTCTGGGAACCCCGATGGCTGAGATCTCAGGCAGTGCTGGCACTGGAGCGTTTCTGAGGGTCACCTTACCCAGGCTGTGTGATCACACATCCCTTAGTAGGCTTGCTGCTCCCTGCCTCCTCCAGCTTTGTTGCTGTGCAGCGCCTTTGTGGGGCAGTGAGGGGGCCAGGGAGCAGCGGGGCTGGAAGAGCAGGGATAAAAATCTGCAGCATCCCACCACTGTCCAAGCTTCTCAGTCCTGTCTGGATGTCTTTGAGCCAAAGCAGCCCTCCTGCAGTGGGAAGAGGAAGCCGATTGGCTTTCCCATTTCTTCCTGCCTGTCTCCTACAAGGGATGAGAGGAGCTGCTGGCCCTGCTCAGTGCAGGGATTTCCCTTCCACAGTGGCAGCAGAAGAGCCTTTTTTTGATGATGCGGGCTCTTGCTGGCAGAGGGCAAACCCCTTCAGCAGCAGAGCTGTGCTCACATCAGGCAGTGCTAGGGCTGCAGTCTTATGAGCCCCGAGGAGAACACACTGCACCCCAGGATCAGAGGCTCAAACTTTTGGTCACAAGGAAGGTAGAAGGTGTGAGTAACAAAGCCTGCTCCTCAGTTAAAATTTAAAGAAAATTTAATAAGAGACAACAGGGGACCAAGTCAATAAAGTAGAAGTAACAGCGCTGGGTGCTTGACTTGGGTACTTAGCCACAACCAGAGGCACACACCAGTCAACACAGCAACAGCCCTTGTATACTCCGGGTATTGCATCAGCCTAATGCATATTTACAAATGGTTATACATTCTCAAACATTTTAACATAGTTCCTCCTCTGTCCCGCCTTTTTGGAGTATGTGCAGTTGTCCTAGTCCTGGTCATTTGTAACTTTTCAACACATTCAACAGGTTTCCATTCCTTCATTGGTTAAATGTTAATATTGCAACAACTCTTCACCAACATTAGTAACACAACACAACATTCTCATTAAAAGAACTCTAAACTTTAGCAAAACTTCTTTTACAAAAGTCATCATTATAAAACATATAGTATTTACTCTAACAATTGTGAAAGCCAATACTGTAATATATTTATCATGAAGGTGATGTGGTCTGATGGTTTCTTCTAGATGAGAACCTGTCCCCCGAGCCATCCCCCATCAAACACTCTGATGCATTCCCTCCCTCTTCTCCCGTCCCTGCAGGGTTCCCTTGCACCTGGCAAGAAGCGACTGCTGAAATTTTCTTACATGCCAGGATTACCAGGAGCCTTCAGCAGGACTTACCAGCTTAAAGTGGGTGACCTGGAACCAGAAAATATCTGCCTGAAAGGAGAAGCGTCCTTTCCCATGATCAGTCTGGACCTGCCCTGGAACATCAGAGGTGGGCACTGCCTGTCTGCCCCCAGGAAGGGCCCCTCTGGTTTTGTTCCCTACCGTGTGCCCATAGGGCAGCTCATGGCAACCTCCACCGAGCCTGGAGGGTTGCAGGACTCCCAGATCAAGTCAAGCCCCCTGGTTGCTTCATGAGTCTTGAGCAGAGGATCCCATGTGGACTTTGTCCCAGGAACCAACCTGCAGAGCCTGCCAGCTCATCTGGCAGGGTCCTGAAGGACGATGGCTAGAGAGAAAGGCTTGGGAAAGCTGTAAGAGAGGCTGGCAGGGCTTCTGGCAGGGTTGGATCTGTGTGACATTGCAGGGGATGAGATTCAGAGAGGAGCAGCAGCATCCACTTTCCATAGATGGCTTGAGGGATTTCTTTCTGGAAGAAACCAGTGTTGGGAGGCGGGGACTTCCCAGCTTAAATGGGACTGGCACTTTGCTCACCCTTCTCTTTGTGGATGCTTTCTTCCTTCAGGAAATGAAAAATATGAGAAGATACTGAAACAGCTCATAAAACCCCTGCAACAAGACAATCAGAGGAATAAATCAGTTGTTCTGAAGAAGACTCAGAGCCTGAAGACCAAGACTTTGAAGTCTCAGACCCTGAAAACTCAGTCCACTAACAGTCAGACCTTGAAGACTCAGAACCCAAAGACTCGGGACCTGCAGCCCAGCGTGCTTGCCTCTGGCACTGTAGTAAGAACAGCTGCAGCCCCGTTTGGCACAGGCCACCCTCTCCATGTCACCTGAGCCCCTTGCAGCCCACAGCAGCTTCCTGGTGCCCTGATGACACTTGGGACCTCCCTGCCCACTGACAACCTTGTGTCACCTCAGCATTGCCCCTAGGGCTGCCACGCTGGTCATGGTCTCCTCTGGGGCTGCAGCAGCTTCCTGGCTGCCCCAGGGAGAGATGCTGAAGGCCATGCTCCAGGGATGGAGTTGATGGTGCTTTGAAGGAGATGCAGGTCATTGCTGGGGAGTTCATTGTTCCCAACCCTTGCCCTGCCAGATTTACAGACCTTAACAGCAGCTGCCAGATTGTGTTCTGGGGCTGTGCTGGAGGTGCTCATCTCCACGAGGCACCAGCTTGGTGCCAGTTCCCTTTCGAGACAGCTTCTGTCCAAGCTGCCTTGGTACAGGCTGGGGGCAGGCAAGTATCTGGAGCTCTGGAAGGTTCCTGGCTTGTCTGTCTGCCTGGCCAGATCAGCTTTGCTAACAGTGTCTGGGCAGGCAAAGATGCTGGAGTTACTTCCCTGGAGATGAGGTCCTGGCTAAGAGAGCAGGAGGTGTCACAGGCACTGAGCAGCCAGACAGGAGGACCCCACACCCCCTCCCAACAAGAGTGGGCTGGGATCCTTTCTCAGGTGCAAGCTGGGCTTTGGGAAGGACCTTTGCTAACCAGCCACTGTCTTCCCTTTCTTCAGTCAGACACTCAGCTGCAGATAAAGATGATCAGGATGCTGATAGAGAAGGCTGCTTTGGAGCTGCAGCAAAGGCTCACATCCCATCCCCTGAAGAGCAGGTTCCCTGACAAGGAGCTGTGCCAGAGTCTTGTCAAGTGAGTAGGGACGCCCACCCCATGTCCAGGTGCCCCTGGGTGGGAACACCCAGCCATGTCCCCTTCTCCTGAGAGCTCCCTGTGTCTGCAGAGCTGGGAACAGCCTGGACTCCAGAAAGGCTCTGGTCCTGGTGGCTGTGACACGCTGCATGTGAGCAGCGGAGTGTCCTCCCTTCCCCAGCACCACGCTGAGCTTTGCACTGCTCAGCTCCCCACAGGTGTGGGGTTCTGTCCCTAGAGCTGGGGGACCCAGTGCAGACCTTCTAGCCCTTCCAGACAGCATAGATTCTGTCCCTGCTGCCTAGCTCTGAAAGAGACAACTCCCAGCTGAGGTCTTGCTTCCAACTAACAGCTGGGCAGCTGTGACACTGAACAAAAGGAGAAGGGAACTGCACGTGTCAGCAAACCCTTTAAAACCTAACATCAGATGATTTGGATCCTGGTGGGGTGGCAGGGCTTATCTAGGTGACTTGGCCTGTCCCTTTGCACCATCATGATGCAGCACAAGCACGGGAGCTTCAATTCAGGAAGGAGATGCTCTGCAGAGCAGCTCATGTGGTCTGGTTGCAGAGCAATGAAGATTTCCTGTGCAGGCAAACCTTATTCCTAGAGTCCAAAGCAATTTCAGGCTCAGGCTGTACACCAGGCTAGGCAGTTCCACTGAGAGCAGTGGAGGCCCAGTGGACTCACCTAGACTGGCTTTTCATGGCAGATGAGCTGTGGCCAGTGTCCATTTTAAACTAATTTTATTTTCAGGTACCATTAGTAGCTGATCAAACCTAGGACCTGCACTCCTCCTGACTTCACAGAGTTATTGCCAGGTGGTGAAGCTATAGGTTTCATGGGCTTGAGCTGAGTTTTGACAGCAGTGAATAGAGAAATAGCCACTTTATTTGTATTCTCCATCCACTTGGATGTGTAGCCAGGCTGTGGTTTAAGGACTGTCCTTATTCCTTGCAGAGTTGAGCTGCCCCAGTATGTCCTGGACATGGGCCCTGTCCTTAAGGGTTACACTGAGTCACACTCTCTGAAGATCACCAATCCTGGGCAGATCCATGTGTCCTTCCAGGTTGATGTATCTGTCCTGCAGGACACAGGTAAGCAGTGCTGGAGACACTTCCTGTGCCCTTGAAGGAGGTGTCTCAGACAAATTAGCTTAAGCCCCTGAACCTGGGGAGGTTTCTGAGCTTTTTCTTCTCAGTGCCCCTGCTGGGAGCTGTAGAGGCAGAACTCTCCTGGCCAGCCATGCCCAGGGACCTGGCCTGCCTGTGACTGCCCTAACGCTTCAGTGCAGGGGCCAATGGTGACCATCACCCTGGTCACCTCAGCATCTTCCACCCTCGGCTCCCACAAGCAGCAAGTTTCTTTGGACACTCTGTGGGCTTGTTTTGCCAACCAGTGGGGTCTGCTGTATTTTGGAAGTGCTTTGTTTGGAGTTCACACAGGTTCCCAGCACCTGTATTCAGCCTTTACTGAGGAAGCAGCCTGTGAGATCCTCTGGTGGATCAAAAGAGGTTTCCAAAAGAGGCCTTGAGGCAAGGCTGCCCTTCCATCACACAGTGGCTCACTGTGTCTGAAGGGTGTTCAGGTGCAATCTTAAGATTTTGTCCAGGTCACAGCACAGCATGGGGCTTTTGCCACACCTCTCAGCCAGGACACCTGTAAGGCCTAAATGCTTGTACACATTTTGTGTTTTGTGTGTATCTCAGCGGCTTTGTGTTCATCTGTTCAAGGTTTCAGCGTGGGCCTGGACCAGGTGATTTGCCTGCCCCCCAACAACAGCGTGGACTTCGACGTGCACTTTGAAAGTGCCCACAAGCCATATGGTGACGTGGAAGTGGTGCTGCCCATAGAGGTACCACAGCTCTTGGGGCAGGCAGCAGGCTGGGCAGAGCAGCAGATGTCACCTGCACTGTCACATTGCTCTGCTGAATTCTCTGTCCTTCTCCAGGTGACAAAAGGCCCTATGTACAGCATCCGCATCCGTGCCACTGTGTTGGAACTGTCACTCACCCTCTCCAAGAACAGATTGCAGTTCTCTGACATCGTTGCTGGGGACTGCCAGGTTGAGACCATCCAACTCTACAACCAGTTCCCAGAATCCTGCAAATGGTTCATTGCTTCCAACAAGCCTGCTCTGAGGGTAAAGCACAGGCGACATTGAACACAGAACTTGGTTGGGTTTTCTTTGTGACTCTTGCCCTTTCTGCTCTGTGGCTGCTTGAGCACTTGGGTCTACAGTGTGTTTGAGGAAACTTCTGAGGGTCTAGATCAAGGCTGGTTTGCCTTAACCTGTTCCATTAGCTGATGCTTTGCTTTGCTGCCATCTTCACCCATTCCTCCTCCTCCTCTGAGGACACTAGTTCCCTATCTGCCTGCCCTGTCTACAGGGCTTCCCTCCAGCTCTGGGCTTTGGGGCCACACTTGGTTTGGCTGTGGGTGCTCTCAGCACCGTGTCAGTGTCTCAGAACACGAGGAGACCTCACATTATTGATTTCTGTGCCCAGAATAGTCACGTCAAATTCATGACACCCGCCATATGTCAGAAGCTGCAGGCACTGGTGGATGAGCCCTGTCCCTTTCACGTGACGCCCTCCAATGGAATCCTTTGTGCAGGAAGGTGGCAGAATCTGCAAATCCAGTTTGCACCTGAGGAGGAGGTGAGATTGGCGGGTGTCAGCCCAGGAGGCCTGTCAGGGCTATCTGGAAATGAGGGCCTGGTACAGAGAGTGTGGTAGGAGCTCTGCCTTCACAGGGAGCTTTCTGCAAACCCCGTACTCAGCGTGGCTCAGTTCACCCCACAGAGCACTCCCGTGAGATGTGCTTTGAAATGCCCACAGGGAGCTTGCACAGAGAGCACCAGGGCTCTGAGGCTGCCTCTTGGCACATGGGGGGGTGTGCCCAACTCCCCTCAGCCTGCCCTTTGCCTGGCTGTATTTGCAGCTGTGACACTCAGTGCAGAGCAGCTGCCCACTCACAGAGGATAATCCTGGAATGGCCCATCCTGCTGCAGGACTGCCAGACCAAACAGCCACCACCCACCTTCCTGGGCACGGCAGGACAGTCACCTGTAGTGGGGTGCTGCCAGCAGTCCCTGGGGCTCTGGCCTGCCTGCACATTCCTGTGCAGCTGGGGATTCAGCTCAAAGGACAAAGCATTCCCAAAAGTGGTTTGCCTGTGGCTGCTGGGTCTTGGAAAATGGCAGTGTGTACCAGCATGGACACAAGTGCTTCTGTGCCCACACACACTCCCAGGGATCTTTTAATTGCTCAAGAAATGTAACCATCTTGTGTCTGGCTTGGACCAGAGCCAAACACTAAGCAGAGAAGATGACCCTTATTTCTGGCCAGCAAGAGCTCATTTGCCTCTCTCCTGGAGCTGGTGTTTGCCTGATGCAGCAGTGCCAGGACTGTGTCTGGACACTGTAACCCTGAGGGCCTTTCCCATGAGCACTGCACTCCTGCATGACTAGGTGAAAATGTCTGACAGGCCATTGTACATCCATCTGATACCCAGTTACAGTGCACACCAGCATTCATCCCAGTTACTCAGACCCAGACTACTACAGATGCTCTAGTCCCTAGCATAAGTAAATATCTGGTTTCCATTCACCTTGGAGGGACTGATAACACCAAGCATTGCTGTATTTGGGGTCCTGTCATCTGAGACTTCGTGGATGAGTTTTCTGCACTTTCCTCTTTTCAGAGGTCTTACAAGAATGAGCTGGAGCTTATCATTTGTGGGAGCAGCAATCGCTTAAAGCTGCACCTCTCAGGACAAGGTCTGGAGCCACGGTTGGAGTTCAGGCCCCCAGCACTAAAGATGGGAGGGATGCCGGTGGACAGCGATGGGGTGGAGGCCACAGTGGTGGTGAAGAACCCATGCAACTTCCCCACTGAGTCTTACTTAATGGATTTTCATGAGCATCTCCTTGAGAAGGAGAAGGTGAGAAGTCTGGTCTCCATTCAGCATTCCCAGGCTTGTGCCAGGGGGATGGAGGCAATCCCCAGGGCAAAGCCAGCTCTGCTGACATGCTGTGGGAGGACCTAAACTAAATAGTTTGTGTTGTTGGGAGGAAGGGAGGAGACAGAAAATGGGTTTGTTGAATCTTTGTGATGAAAGGCAAGAAAAGGAATCTTGTGTATGGCTTCTCTTCCCTCCACACACAGATCCTGCGGTCTGAGTACCAGAAGAGATTTTTTCTGCCTCCACGTGCTGCAGCTGCGACACTGTTCCGAGAGGTGCTGCAGAATCATGGAGCACAGTGGAGGCCAAAGGCTCAAGAGGCAGAGCTCAAGGCCAGGGCTGAGGCTGAGGCCAAGGCCATGGGCAAGGCAGCAGCAGGTCAGAAAAACAGTGAGGGTTTGGTGGTGTCTGTTTTGCCTGTGGTCACAGCAGGGACTCCAGCCCATACACCCTGAACTCTCTGTCACCTTGCTCTCCAGGGAAAGCCCGTGCTTTTAGCAGCTGCCTGTTCCCCAGCTTGGTGGAGGAACTCTTGGCTGAAGGGCTGTGGCATCCTCTTCCAATCCTGAGTGCAGCCAAAGCAAGCTCCTATCTGCCTGCCATAGACTGGGGAAATAATCAGGATATTTCCTTGTGTCCCTTAGCCACAAAGACTAGGGCTGGATGAGTTCCTCAGCCAATAGGACCAGGCCTAATATCACTGGCTCTTTTATATTTGCACCTTCCTAGCAGCAAAAGAACAATCTCATCTTGCTTTCACCGAGTCTCCTTTCCTGGGATCTGAGGGGATGGGGACTTTACTGCTCAGCCATAGTTTGGGGGATTTTCTGAATTGTGGAGCAGGGATATGAGCTCCCCAATATCTCCTGGGATGATAGGCTGCATCAGGAAAAGCTGTGAATCCTTGCAGCTGCCCCAGAGCACCCAGCTCTGCTTGCAGTCACTCATGGTTTCTCCTCTGGTTTGTGCTAAAGATCTGCAATGGGAAAAAGCTCTGCCGAGGAACACAGAACGTATCTTGCAAAGAGATGAGGATGAGTATTATGCCCTCCTTGAGAAGAAGAAAGCAGAAATGGATAAAATAATACTGGGAAGCAAGCACATACGGAGGAAAAAGTGAGTAAGCCTTCCATGGGTTACTGCTCTTCCATGGGTTATCATCCCTGGAGGGCTTCCCTGCTCCAAGGACTCTGAGCTCAGAGGTGCTGCAGAGCAAAGGCCAGAAGCAGCACAGGGATGGCCACTCTGAGCTCCCTGGCTCCCAAGAGAGGAAGGACCTTCTTCTGTTGAGACAGAAGATCTTCTTCTCTATTTGAGTGGTGAGCCCTCCTGCCTTAGATGCTGCCTGCAGGGAGCTGGGCTCTGGGCTTGCCTTGGCACTGCCTCTAGAGGTGTCTTTAGGTCCATGGTGTTGAGTTGCACCTTCTTCATCATGTCCCTTCACCAAAACAGTGGGACTGTGGTATGGGCAGGTGTGGGGCACAGAGCAAACCTTGCTTTGGGTCCTGGTCCTGCCACAGCATTGCAAGTCCTTGCAATGCTGATCTGCCAGGGTGCTCCTTATGGTGGGACAGCACACATGAAAGCTCATGTCCTTTAGGCTCCCCTTCAGCTGCAGCAGTAGGCAAGCCCAGGAGAAGCTCTGCTCCAGCAAGGCAGCCCAGCTCAGGACACATAGGCAAAGTGTGGAGCTGAGAGTGGAGGCTGGTTAAAGCAAGGCTGTGCATCAGGACTTCCTTCAGCCCAGGCTGAATTTGATTTCATGGAGAGGAGACAGATGAGGCTGCTTCAGATGGTTTTCATGGCAGACAGCACTGGTTTGCTTGGTCACAGCTGGGTTCCAGCAGCAAATCTGGCTGACAAGAGCCTGTCTTGCAGGAGAGGAGTTCCTGCAGCCTTTGCTTTCTGACTGATAGGATTATTGTCATTAAGGAGCAGGCTGTACCCTGAGGGGTGCTGAGTGAGCTGAGTAAGAATTGTAGGAGAGATAAGCAGATGTTAGCCATCTGTGCTCTGCTTTAAACTGGGAAATTAAGAGACAAAGAGCGTTTTCAGGCATCAGCACAGAGAGCTGGTGGATCAGCCTTTGGCAGGGGCTGGAGGGGTCTGGCTGTGCCTTAAGAGGGAGCTTGCACAGCCAAGACCTTATGATGGCATGGTTCAGGTTTGGCTGGTCCTGGAAGTCCCCTTCCACCAATGCCCTCACTTGGGATGTTCCCAGCCTCTGTGGGTTGAGGAAAATTTACGGAAATGGTCTGGTGGTTCTGCCTGGCCTCAGGGTCAAGGAATGAAGTGCAGGGCAGCCAGGACTGGTGAGCTCAAGTTTCTGGTGGTGACTCTCAGCGATGTTTTCTGTTTTGTTTGCTGAAGTTTGCTGAAGCGGCTGATTCAAATGCGTCAGCGGGAGGCAAAAGCCTTAGAGGAGGAGGAGAGGCAGAAGGAGGAAGAAAGGCAGAAGGAGGAAGAGAGGCGGAAGGAGGACAAGAAGGGTGTCTCTGTGGGTATCCAACCTCCAAAACCAGAGAAGGGGGAAACCAAACCCCCAGAGAAGGAGGAAACCAAATCACCAGAGGGGAAGGAAACCAAGGCCCCAGAGAAGGAAAACAAAGCCCCAGAGAAGAAAAACAAACCTCCAGAAAAGAAGGAAACCAAAATACCAGAGAAGAAAAACAAACCTCCAGAAAAGAAGGAAACCAAAATACCAGAGAAGAAGGAAACCAAAATTCCAAAGAAGGAAACCAAAATCCCAGAGAAGGAGGAAAGCAAAATCCTAAAGAAGGAAACCAAACCCCCAGAGAAGAAAAACAAACGTCCAGAAAAGGAACCCAAATCCCCAGAGTGGAAGGAATCCAAAATCCCAGTGAAGGAAACCAAAGCTCCAAAGAAGGGGGAAGTAAAAGCCCCAGAGAAGGGGGAACCCCCCAAAGCCCAAAAGACAGGTGAAACCAAGACCTCAAAGAAGGGTGAAAGCAAAGCCCGAGAGAAGGGGGGAACCAAAGCCCCAAAGAAGGGGGGAACCAAAGTCCCAAATATGGGGGGAACCAAAATCTCAGAGGACACAGCTGAGATAGAGAACTTGCTCCTGAGGATTCAGACGTATGAGTCATTGCAGCAGAATTTCTCCTACTGGAACAGGGTTCAGGGTACCCTGCGGTCACCTGTTATCCAAAAGAGAAACAAGTCCCAGTATGCAGCTCAAAACAAAGGTCAGAAGACCAATAAGCCTCAGGAGAAGGTGAAGAAGCCTGAACAAAAAATGTAGAGACCAAAGGAATCTTTAATCGTCTCAGCTGGAGGTGCACAGTTGCAGAGGGGGCAGTCAGATGATGATGTTCCACAATGACTGGGTATCATCTGTGTTGACAGGGAGGTTACCACTTCTGGGGACTCAGTTTCTTCACGCAGGGAAAGACCATTCTTTATTCACTCTACTTAGTTTATACAGTTTCAGACTTTGTGTGCAACTTTAATTAGTTAATAGATTTCTTTTTTATTACTCTATTGATTAATAAAATATATTTTAATTGTACATCAAATCTCTCTGTTGTATTGTTTAACTGTTCTCTTCACTGATTCTCATGAGACAAATCCCTTGTTGTTGCAGGTGCATTTGTTTTTCACCCTCAGAATAGATTGTTAACAAACTTTCATTCTCAAAATAGCTTCATATGGGAACTTGTAACTGCTTAGCTGCACTTAGAAGAGATGAAAGGCCAAACTTTCTCTGGAGAAAGAGGTTCTTGTTTATTAAAATAGCTACAAGGAATGGAGTGCCCAGGATAAGCCCAGGTACCCACACAGCAAGCCGAAAACAACAGTCTGCTAACCCCAAGTGCACTGGGTTCTCCCCACCAAACAAGTATCCAAAAAGAAGAAGAACCCCAACCCAACCAAACTTCCCCCATTTATAGCCCCCTTCGAGTCCAGGATCGGTCCATTTTGGATATGCATGATGATTGGTCCATTTCCAGGCTTCGCACTGAGCTTTAACGCCGTTCATTCTGGACCAATTGTTTCTGCAGGGCTTCAAATGATTGGTCAGATCTTTCATCCAGTCCCTCACTTTGCCCCGCCAGACCACCCTTGCACCAAACCCTGGACCCTTCTAGAACATTCCAACAAGCCCCCCCCCTCTTAACATAATACAATTAATATAACATAATTAATACAATATAATTGAACTGTACCCTAATTTAACTTAAATTTTACCTATAACGAGAACAAGGCCTGATTTCATAAGGCCTTTCTTTTATAATTCTTCTGTCTATGACATCTCCCACTTTCCGTTCATTTAAAAAAGGCTTCTATGTTCTGATGTTGAAACAGCACATTCTTTTGAGGCTATTATCTCATGAAGGTTATCACTGGTTATCTATTAGATATGGGATAAGATACATAAAAGACCAATTACAATCAACAAAACTTAGCAAATTCTATCAAGTCATTTACACAGGGCTCCACAGCATGAGAAAAGAAAAGAATAATGTCCAATGTCTCTTAGGGAAATGGAAATAAAAAACTATTGTTTTAAAATCCAGTTACTTGAGAACTATGAGGAAGTCCATAAGCATAAGATACATAAGCAGCTAGAGAACAAAAGGAGGATCCTGAAATGACACATCTTGTAGATAATTACACCAAAAGATGGTAAAGCATATGAAAAGCTGGCTATAAAAACAGTAATACAAACATTTATGTAGTTATGACAGCAAAAATGTATCAAAGGAAAACAGTGAACAGCTCACTAGTAAAATTGATGATACCTCAGATTAAATAACACTCAAACCGGATATAAATAAATTTGGACAGTGATAGAGCTTAACAAGATGAACTTAATAAAACTCCACCCTAGAAGGATTTCAAATTAATAAACATAATTTTATTATCACCTTAGTAGAACAAAAAGCACACTCAAGAGAACTCAAAGTTAATTACTATTAATATTGAACATAACTGGAACCATAAAAAACTGGAATAGAACGTGGTTCAAACTTAGGAATACTGAAACTTAACAGAAATAAAGTCGACCAAAATTAACTTTATAAATCTTAGCCTTATACAATTTAACAGTATGTAACTGAGCATTACAATATTGGGCCTTATTTTAACAGAATTAAAATCAACATCCTTAAAAGTTACAGATATGACGTGATGTAACATAGTCTAAGGTTATTAATACAAAAAGACAACTAAAACGTGAATAATCCATAAATGAAAAAACAGCATGATGGTGTACTGGAGGGATTAAAGTTGTAACAAGCATATTAGAATTCTAAGTAAATCAGTTATGAGAAAAACTCATGGGAACTCCAAATTCCATGGAAACAGAAATTCAGTAAGACTTTTTAAAGTGCAGGGTTACTGAAAAATAAATATAATGTGCAATTTAGCATATTGCTGAACAACCCAACAGCTTTTTGTGACTGTATCTGGCATCATTTTATATGGCAAATTTGTTAGCATTCTTGTTAAAAATATCAGACCATGTTAAAATTCGATAGGTAAGAAGGCGTTGCATTTACTACTTTTCAATCTCTCCAGTAACTGTAAAACTATATAAAACAATCAGAATTTAGTCAGAAAACGAAATAAACTTTAAAAAACGTTTTCAAGGCACACAAACACAGTAGGTAAGGCTCCATCAAGCAGAAGTAATCAAGCAGCTCTGCGCCAGAGCAGGGGTCTATGGTGCTCACAGGGAAGAGGGAAAGCACTGCAAAAAGGGAAACTATGGGGAGAAGAGAGGACATTTAAACTACAATGACATAACTACACATCAATAAAGCTTCTCTTAATATTCACACAACAGTCATCCCTTAATTGTGAGGGCCAATCCTCTCATTATCCATGGATCCCAGCAGGGCCCTGTGGCCGTGAATCCAGCCTGCCCTGGGCTCGCCTGGCTTGGCCACCACAGCCCCCCCGGGGCCGCTGCACCTCTGCTCCCCCAAAACACCTACGGGGAAAAGAGCAGGGGAAAAGCAGCAATATGAAACAAACTCTAAAACCAGCACACAAAAGATAAACACAGAAAAGGCACAAGCTGCATTTTATTTCATCTTCTGCCAACAAAGTCACTGACTGAGAGTTGCATTTCCAAGGCAAAGATCTGCCTTTTGAGAAACTTCAAAAACATAGAAATATCTTTTTTACTAGATGCGTACAAGGCCAGGCATCATTGGAGGCACAGCTTTTGTCACAACTCTGCTTCCTTTTTAACTGAAAAAGAATTAAGCAGTGTGGTCATAAGTCTGGCATCTCAGCCAGAATGGCCAGGTATTAGAGGGAAGAAGTCAGCCTATAAAATCTGATTATTTTTCCTCTTCCATTGGTCTGTCAATAATGTTAATCGGAATGTATCTCTACATGTTAACATGAAGGTGTTTGTATTTACATAAGCAGTAATATATCTATAAAGACTTTTGTATTCTCTTCAAGGACAAGAAAATTTGAACGAATAATCCTTTCCTAATAGAGAGGTCCAGTTTAACTTTTCACTGATGATGTTAAACCCAAGGGTGGTTCATGTAATGCTGTCTTTACACGTCGCTGTCTTCATGCACAACAGCCCATCTTTATTCTTCACAGCTCGCATTTATATGGTTTTCTAAAGGCATTGTCTTTCATTTTAATTGGTTGGTAATTTACTGCAGTTCGGTTCATTGGTTAGTAGTTGCTAAAGTACATCTTAGTGAAAACCTTTCCTCCCATTAACGTCTCCTGGATAGAAGATGTGGGTAGAAGTCTTTCTTCTCACAGGTGCAAATTCCTTTCTCACAGGAACTTGTCAGGCTAGCTGTTAGCTGTACTTAGCTGAAGCAGCAGGCCCGAGCCATAATTTTACAAGGGTAACAAGGCTTTTATTTTATATGGCTTTACAATATTGTATGTAACAATGTTGTATGCAACTTTGACATATGATTATTTCAATCTTAAAGAATAATCTTAAATTTCTTTTAGGTGAATTTTGACCTTTGTAATTTTTGTGTATGATAGATTTAGAGTTAAAATCTGTTTTGAATCATTCCTTCATAGAATCATAGAATCATAGAATCATCAAGGTTGGGAAAGCTCCCTGAGACCATGGAGTCCCAGCTGTGCCCGATGCCCACCTTGTCCCCAGCCCAGAGCCCTGAGTGCCACCTCCAGCCCTTCCTGGGCCACCTGCAGGGATGGGCACTCCAAAGCTCCCTGGGCAGCCCCTGCCAAGGCCTGAGCAGCCTTTCCATGGGCAAATTCCTGCTGGTGCCCACCCTGAGCCCAGCCTGAGGCCGTTCCCTCTGCTCCTGTCCCTGTTCCTGGGAGCACAGCCCGACCCTCCGGCTGTCCCCTCCTGGCAGGGAGTTGTGCAGAGCCACAAGGGCCCCCTGAGCCTCCTTTGCTCCAGGCTGAGCCCCTTCCCAGCTCCCTCAGCCCCTGCTGGGGCTCCAGCCAGGGTAGCATCCTAGTGCTATACAAAGAGCAGGGTATAGACCTGCCAAAGGTGTCTTTATCACCACATTTTAAACTTTCATAAATACAGAAAGACTCTGCAGAAAGCACTAAAGTCAAGTCAGCAGCCAAAGTGCCAATGTCCTGCGCACAGCAGCGCGGCCCGGCCCGGCCCCAGGCTCGGTGCCGCGGTTGCCCGGTAACCGCGCCCGGGCCCTCAGCGTCTGTGACGGCGCCGCGGCCTCAGCGCCCGCAGCCGCCCTGATGCTCATTCGCACCCGGTGCGCTCAGCCTGCGGCACTCGGCCACTGCCAGCGGAGTTGTTCGCGGAACAGTGCTGTCTGTGAGCGACAACACGCAAAACATTGCTCTGCGAGGGACTCCTAAACTTGCAGAACCTTGGTTTCTGCCAGAGAGTCCTGAATTTCGTTTGAAGGTAAAGATTGACTCAAGTTGTACTTTCTGGTTTTGTCACATCTGTGCTCTGAAAGAGAATGCCAAAGGGAAATAAAGGATGGGATAATGCCAGTCTTCAGTGCGGTGGCATGTACAGCTGAGGGGATGAACAATACATGGTCTGCTGATGGTGCTTTTTTCTCACTGAGGAAATGCAACATTTCCTAAATATACTAGTCTATACATTTTTTCCTATAGTATGTATTTAAACTACTTATAGGTGAATGAGTTATGTTCAAGTTTCAGTGGGTTGTTATGAATCTGGTTATTAAAATTATTAAGGAGATGCCCCTGGATTAAGGTGCAAAACGAGACCATGTGCCAAAGTCAATAGTTTGGATTTTATGGAACAGTAAATGTGAGGAAGAGAGAGGGAGAAAGAAATAGAAAAGGGGGGGGGGGGGGGGGAAGGGAGCTGGGAAGGAGGGAATAGAGTGACAGAGACAGATTTAGTAGAAAATATCACCATTCCATGGATCCCATCCCATTCAGTCCTCTTCTGGTCTTCTTTGTGGTGAGGTCTCACAAAATCTGAGACTCCAATGGATTAATGCAGATTTGGCAAGGTGGGACTGCCCAGGTACCTCCCTGGGATGGGGCAAGTTTGGCTCTGTCTCTTATACTACTCTCAAATAATATAAAATCTTTAGCACCAGTATGTCCTTTGAGTCTGCCATGAATTGGGTTGTGGATTTTCAGATCTGTTGTGTTTCTCTGCATGCCATGCAGTCATCTGGTGCAAGGCCTCAGGAATGGCTCTGGGGGCACTTTGGAGGTCTTTGCTGGGTTATGACACCCCCTCAGCTGCCCCTCATGGGAATGTCCCCTGGATGTGGCCTTCTGGGGCTGGGGGGTTTTAGAGCTGAGCCAGTTTGTCTGAGGGAGGATGGGTGTCCACTGCCCCTTACCAGAGGTTGTGTTTCACCCCCAAAATTTCCTCCTTCCCCCTCTGTTGATGGGAAGTTTGTGTGCAAACCTGGCCTCAGCAGACGAGTCTGTGGCTATGACTCCCCCAGCCTGAAGGCAGAGAGAGCTGATTTTCAGGACAGCTGCTGGATTTGACTTTAGTGGGGATATATTTTTCTCCCTCAGCCTTGTTCACTTCTCCCCAGACCTGAGCTAACAGGACAATAGTGTCACATTTATTTTGCCTCAAGTTCCCTTAGGCAGCTTAACTCCCAGTGCCAAGTTCCAGTCAGGAGGCATTTTCAGGGAAGGGTGCATTTGGGGGGGTCTCAGCTTCTTTATTCAATTCTGTCACAATGGGCAAAAAGTCCTTTATAGCAATATTTAAGGCATTAGCCATAACATTCTAGTCTCTCACAAGTCCTGTGAGGAGCAGCTGAGAGAGCAGAGGTCATTTAGCCTAAAGAAGAGAAAGTCCATTCAAGATGTTTTTAAATAATATTTAAGCTACAGTTTTGTTTGTTCTAAGCATTATTAATGTTCAGCATTTTAGCTCCAGGTTTCAGTACAATCAATCTTTAAATTGCCAAGGTACCCATATAGTTGCAATAAAGTCCAACTTGAGGCCTAACAACACTAGCTACTTCTGCCTAATGAGCACTTAGCTGCTTTCAAATCATATAAAACCTTTAGCACCAGTACATCCCTTGAGTCTGCCATGAATTGGGTTCTGGATTTTCAGAGTTCCCTTGTTGTTCCTTCCAGTTCTGTTGAGGCGTTGTCACTCCTCTGTGACATCATCCCTTCTCAATGGCTTCTGGAGTGCCAAAGACACCAACACCTCGTATTTTGCTCAGGGAAAGACTGAAGGCTGATTCTGTGAGTAGCCCCTGGGGCTGTGTTAAGGCTGGAAACTGCCCTGCTGTCCCTGCTCTCCCTGCCCCTGTTGTCCAGCAATGCTCTGAAGCTGCAGAGCCCCTCCCCAGCCCTTTGTGCCGTGCTCCTGTTGCTGGGGCTGTCCTGGTGCAGTAGGGAACACTGTGGGATGTGTCAGGGACAGCCCAGCGCCTTGCCTGGCTGTGCCAGCAGAGCCAAGTGAAACCAATGTACAGCTGAAGCCCTGAGCATGGGCTTCTTTCATTCCCCTTTGCCACAGCCATTCCTTCTGTCAGGCTGGGCACTCACCTGTGCTGCTCTGACCATCCTGCCCTTGGGCACCTGGGCACGTGAGGGGGAAAGCTCAAACTCTGCCCAAAGCCTTGAGAGCCACGGCTGGTCCCAGCTGGAAGAGCTCCCAAGGCAGCTGTTCTCTCCCAGCTCCTGGGTGGGCACAGATGCAGCCCTGCAGGCAGCGCTGGATGGAGCCAGGGCCACAAAGGTCCCTTGCTGTCTGCAGCTCACTTGGCTGAAGATGCCCCACTGCTGAGGCTCTGCCAAGGAGATCCCTCTGTTTTCTTCTGTCCAGGGCTCTGTCAGCCCAGACAGAGAAAACCAATGCTAATTGACAGAGTGAGCTAAAACTTGGACACATTCCTGTGCACCTCACTCTTGGTACAGCTTTTCTTGCTTGCTTCCCTTGGACTCAGCCAGCAGTGCTATCTCCTGGCTGTGAGTTTTGAGTGTTGTGCAGAGATGGAGTTTGGGCAGTTCTGAGAGCTCCTCCCCACTCTCTGAAAGGTCACTGCCTCAATCCAGGGAAAAGTAAGAGGAAACAAATGCCCAAAGGGCAGAAATCCCCAACCATGTCCCATCAAATCACAGAGAGACTCATGGGACACAGCCATGTGGCTGGAGTATGTGTATTCCACTCTGTATTATTAACTCATTGGTGCTAAGTATTTCCGCAGGAAACTTCCAGGGCTTCCAGAACTGTGCTAGTGGCTGTGATCACAAATCATTCATCAGTAGTAAGTGAACAAGAAAAGCCTCCATGAGCAAGAGCATTTCTGAGACTCTTGCTGTTTTTTTGCCTTCCAGCTGACTCCCTCTGCCTTCCAGAAGGAGATGTCTCTCAGCACCAAGCAGAGGCTGGCCAGAGCTAAGAAGCTGAGTCTGCCTCAGGTTGTCCAGCCTCAAGACAAGCCTGGGACCTCCCATCACAAGGTAGCCTTTCCCTGCCCTTGCTGTTTGATGTGATAATTGAGGAGGATGCCAGAAGAGCAGCTTGGCTTGAGCCTGCTCAGCCTGGTCCAGGAGCTTTTGGTCAGCCCAGGGCAGAGGTGGAGGAGCCACTGTTTGCCCAGTGTGGGCTGGGCAGATGTGCTCACCCGGAGTCTGCACTTCACTGGGGATCAGAGCAGAATCTTCCTCCCAGCAGCTGAACCTGTCTCTGCTCTCTCTGGCCTCTCCCTGCAGTTCTCAGCAGCTGTCCCAGAGCAGCGCTCGTTTCAGCCTTGCCCACCAGAGGTGGTGTTTCAGAACTACAGCCCCGGTGAGGTCTGTGAAGTGCCGCTGGTTCTGAGGAACAGGGACAAGGTGAGTGCTGGGACTGGAGGTTTAACACTGTGCTGGAAGAGGAGAGCAGAGAAGGGTGGTTAAGGATGGCACCAGGGCATGTCCACCTGTGCCATCACAAGTGGCAAAACCATCATTCCATGTCTGTCCTGCAGGTTCCTCACTTGGTGAAGGTCACCTTGAAGAGCTCACCTTATTTCCAGCTGGTGGGCCCCAATGACGCGTGCCGCAAGGTGCCACCGGGCCTCTACACCACTGTCCGCATCCTCTTCACCCCTGGGCAGAAAAAGGTCAGTCTCGAGGGCCCAAGAGGTTGCTGTTTTCAGTGGAAACTGGACCTGAAAGGCTGGATTCAGGGCATCTGGCCTGACTTTTGAGGACTTGTTCTGGTTTCAGAGGATCTAGAACTGAGAGATACTCTTTGCCCATGCTAAAGATGGAGATAAAGGCTCTGTGCTGAGACAGTTTCTTTTGCCACAGGATTATTTCCACCAGCTCCTCTGCACCACTGAAAGTGAAGAGTTCATTGTACCAGTTTGGGCCATTGGTGCTCGAGCCATCCTGGACTTTCCTGACCAGCTGGACTTCTCCACCTGTCCGGTCAAGTACAGCACCCAGAAGACTCTGCTGGTTCACAATGTTGGAAACCGGCCTGCTTGTTACGAGCTCAGCACCCAGAGGTGAGGCAGCTCATCTGTCCTTGTGCAAAGGATATCTGTCACCTTAGGGTGATGGTAGAGTTGGGAAAGAGCAGCAAAAGGAACCAGAGCATCAGAGCTGCTGCCCTGCAGCCCTGGCTGGAAGTGAGCAGGATGGATGGCAACGTGTTTTGCTTTCAGTGTTCTTAGCAGGATGCAGCCTTTGAGCTTTCTCTGTCTCAGATTTCCTGGAGGGTGCTGGAACATGTTGGTAGCTGGCTTGCACCCTCCTGAGCACAAGCAGCTTCTGAAATGCTTACTCACAACTGTCAGCCAAATAGACCCATTCTCTGGGAGGCCACAGGCACATGGCTTTCCAGTGGTCCCTGCATCAGATGCCCAACATGAGCTGTGCTGTGGGCAGCCTGTGCTGTTCCTGCCAGTCTCAGAAGACAATCACTGTTTCTCCTGTTGGCTGAACTGGAGAGGGTAATGCATTTTTGACACCGTACCTGCAAGGAAACCAGTTCAGTTGGCTGGTGGTGTGTTGAGGGTTGTGTGATCCCAGAGGTCTTGGTGTAGGAGCTGAGGTCAGGAATGCAGCACAGACCTGCTGTCTAACCTCAGGCAGCTGAGTGGCTTTGATTTTTTTTTTCTCTGGCAAAACAGAGGTCAAAAGGCAAATTGACTTTTCTGCTGTGAAACAGGAGGGTCCAAGAGGAGTTTCCACCAAAGCCTGTCAGAGCTATTGGCAGCTCCAATCCAGGCTCCTCAGATGCTGCTCAAACAGGCTGCTGCTTTGGACTGGGCAAACGTGTAGGCAGGAACTTGTAAATCCATGCACGGTTTTTCTCTGGGATTTCCAGATCTTGTTTTGTCACCACCAAAATAAATCCTCAATAACGTCTGGTATCCCTTTACAATGTGCTTGCCAGCAGTTCTGTTGAGTGCTACAGAGCATGTTGGATCCTGCTTGATAGGGATTTAAAGAGTTTCTGAACTTCAGGAATTAAATCTTGAAGTAGATGAAATAGAGCCTAGATGCAGTGACAGAGGGAAAGATGGAGCTTGTGAGCTGCTGACTCTGGACAGAATTTTTCAGCACAGAGCTGGAGCTGCTGTAACCTAACAGACTGAATTTATTAGAACAGTTAATGCTGTTAGACGTCAGCATTAACTGACCATCACTTGAAAGTAATAGATGTTAAGATGAGATCATATTTGGGTTTCTTCCTGCAGTAAGTGTTAGTGGACACATGAGGCAATTCAATTAGCAGTAATTTTTCTGTCTTCCTTGGTGAGGGAGGCAGCTTTTAATGAGATCAATTCTCCCAAAATCAAATCATTTAATAATGGCATTTAAGACACCAGTGGACAAAAGAACGTTTGGCTGAAGCAGATAACTGTACCATGGGACTTGAAACAGATTGCAGCCTCCTTGCATACAGCATCTACCAAAAGTGCAGGTGAATGGTGCTTTGAGAGACTTGGTCACAAAATTGCCAGCTTTGCTCACTGGTCAGCTCTGTTTCTAAATTATGTTAGGAGTACTTGGTCCTTGGTATCCATGGCCATAACTTTTGCCCAGCTCTGTCAGTAAGGGGAGCTGATATCTGATGAGAGTAAGCAAGATGCAAATGACCCTTGAGCCTCATTGCAGAGAGCTGGATACAGAGTATGGGGGAGATGAGGTCATTTCATCCCACAGGATCTTGTGAGGACTGGATCTCCTCACACTAGAGTCAGTGGCTGTTTCTGACCCTGTCTGTTCTGTCTTCTGCTGACTGTGGTTGGTTTGCTCTTTGCTTGCACAAGTGAGCAGAACTGGACTGCAAAAGGGTTAACGTCCCCAAATCTCCACCAAGAGTCCTACTGTCTCTGTGTTGCAGCCCTTTCTCTGTCACTCCGGCCATGGGAACTCTGGATGTTGGTGATGCCGTGGAGGTGGCAGTGGAATTTCAGCCACTGAAGACTGGTGACCATTCCAGGTCCCTTGTTGTGCACTATGACACAGGTGAGTGCTGGGCAGTGCACAGGGCACTCTGTGCATCCCTCAGAGCAGAGCCTGTTCTAAGCAGAAAGGCTGGTGTGGCCGTGGGTTTCAAGAGGGAGATGATGATACTTTTCATAGGGTTCATTTTCTAGTCATCTGGTTTGTAGTCATGTAGTTTGTCATCTTGATCCTTGTAGAGCTCCATGTAAATGCCATTTCTAGAGAGCATGTCTGGTATTTGTTGTTTGCATCTCGCCTGGGTAACGCTCACCTGCAACAGGAATGGTGAGCTTGAAGTCTGAGCCCAGATGCATCCCAGGAGCTGGCTGGGAATAATGAAGCTTTGAAAGCTCTGGAAATGAGGGAGCCTTGGTAGGGGTCTGTTCTAGAGGGTGAAATGCTGGCAGGTTGTCAGGACAGCGTCATGCTGTGCACATGCAGCTCTCAGCTTGTGATCCATGGACTGATCCATGGAACTGCTCGTTCAGCTAAAAGCTGTGACACTTTCTTCTGCTGCCTGTGGTGTGCTCTGTTCCTTGTGCTTCCATCAGCCAGTGAGGTGAGAAAAGACTCCCCTCTGCTTTGTTCCAGGTGAAGACACCCACACAAGCCTTCATGCCAGAGCTGTGGATGCCCACATCGAGCTGGACAGGAATACTGTGACCCTGGAGAAGACGTACATCACCATGTCAAACAGCGCAACTGTGGTCATCCACAACCGCAGCGACATCACAGCCCGCTTCCAGTGGAAGGCTGTGGATACTGAGGAACAGGAGGAGCAGCTGAGGCTGAGGTGGGTTTGAAAGATCCATTTCAGAGACATTCCTTGCCCAAGGGTAAAACTAACATATGGCTTCAGGAGGTACTGGTGCTTTTAAATGGCTTTGGGTAAGTAAACCAGCCCATCTCTCCTGCCTCCCCCAAGCAGTTGTGTATCAGGAAAAGCTGCCTGAGGTGGCTGGTGGATTCTCCCTCAGCTGTGGCAGAGGCTTTGAGCCAGAAGGCTCTGTTGAGGGCTGCTGGCTTTGGAAAGCTCTCCTGAGCTTGCAAGTGTGGAGGGAACAAGTGACCCTCTGATCCATTTGGGACCCCATGGCTCAGGGTCAGCCCTTTGCTGTGGAGCTGCTCCTGCACTTCCACTTCTCTCTGCAAAGACGTGGCTTATTAAACAACCTGCTGGGTTTGTCTTTCCTATGCCTGCAGGCAGTATCACAGGATATACCAGCAGCAAAGGCACAAGTTGTATAGTTTTCTGAAGGAGCGTGAAGTGGGCATCACTTGCCGAGAACGCCTTGCTCTTCTCAACCACACCTTCCAGAGTGAGATAGCAAAGATCAGAGGAGATCCCATGCTGTTAGATGATGACATTTTCTCCCTTGAGCCAAAGGTAAATGATGGCTGAGAACCTCCCTTCCTGCTTCTCTCCTTCCTCTTGCTCCTCATCCCTGAGTAAGGTCACTTGACTGATCCCTGCCTCAGCTGGCTTTGTGTGCCAAGAGAGAAGTCATTGGGATTCTGGTGAGGTCAGAGAGCTGGTTGCAAAAAGCATTTCTGCCCTGTGGGCTCCTGGCAGGCAGCAGGAGCCTGACTAAAGCTTCCAAACTCTGTTCTCAGTGTTATTGATGAGTGTTACTCACTCCTTGCTTGTCACTGATGCTCTAGATAACAGCTTACAGGACTGTGGTTGAAAACAAGAATTGTGGTGTCTGAAGATAAAGGTTTTGCTGTGTCCTTCTGCTTTAGGAGGGTGAGATCATGCCGAAGTGCTCGGCTGAGATCAGCGTGTTCTTCACGCCCCAGGCAGCCCAGGTCTATGAGCGAACAGTTTACTGTGACATCTCAGGTATGGCTCCTTCCCCTGCCCCTCTCTGCAGTGAAGGCAGCTGCAAACACTCCCCCAGATCACTGGGCTCCTGTGCCATGGCTGGGGAGGGTCTGTGCTCAGCAGGGCACTGCTGGCACATGCCCACTGTCCCTGCAGCTTCCAGGGCATCTCCTCTATTTTGATTTTTTCCCCTCTCAGCTGTTCTGAATGCTGCCTGTATTTAGTCTGCTTCTCCTCCCTTGGGGAAAACACTCTGAGGTGCACTCAGAAGGAGGAAGAACAAAATTTCTGGCATTTCCTAAAGTTCCACACTCAACATAAGGGTAGAAGAAAGGATGGTGTCTATGCATGTATGGATGCATCTCCTGAGGGAAGGGAAGGGTCCATATCTGCTCCTGGGACATCAGGAGCTGGTCCCATGCAGCACAGAGTCAGGGACTAGCACTAAGGCAGTCTGGAAAATGCAGGAGAGCAGAAGGAATTCCTGTACTGAAATAGAAATCTCTCCCCAGGCCGTGAGAACAGGCTGCCCCTGCTCCTCATGGGGGAAGGCCTCGGGCCCCGGGTCCATTTCCACTTTGAGGAACTGAACATTGGGGAGGTTTTTGTCAGAGTAACCCACAGATATGAGGTAAGCAGCAGGGTTGGGGTGGGTCCTGCTGGCTCCTAGGGTAGCAGTGAGCCTTGTGGACCTGTAGAATTCCTGGCAACTTGGGTAGTTGTGATGCTAGTCAATTTTGGGGGGATTTCTTGGAATCTGGATCTTTTGGATGGAGTCAGAAAGGTGTGTCTGTTGTTCGTGAGACCCCAGGCCCTGCTTTTGGGCAGCCTTCTTTGGAGGTCAGCTGGGAGGCTTCCTGCAAAACCACTTGGCACATGAAACCAACACTGGGTCAAAAAGCTGCATGTTCAGAGGCTTTTGTTCCAGTCCCAGACACAAATCACCTTTGTGCTCAGGCTGTCCAAAAGCAGCTGGAACAAACTGGCTGCATTTGAGTTCAAGTCCATTGCAAACAGTTTTCAGCCATGTCCCTCCTGCATATTCGTGGGAGTCAGAGGAAAACCATCCACCCTCCTGGCTCAGCGCTGGTCAAAGCCCTTGGCAGTGCTTTCCCTTGCTGACCAGCCCCTCACCACACTTCAGCCATGATGTACCTCTGGCTCTAGAAAGAGCAAAGTGTTTCTGGGCAGGAAGCCAAGGAACTTCCTACATCTTTGCTTCTGGTTTCTCCCACTCCTGCTGTAAACAGGTTGGGCTGCAATGGAAGCTGAACGTGCCCTGCCCATGGTGGGGTTGGACACGTTTGAAATCTCTGTGGTGATGTCACTGTAATGCTGTGATGCCCAGTGCTGCTCTTAGGGCCAGGTGTGAATGAACTGGGTGATGCTGAGCAGCCCCTCTGTGCTGCAGGTCAAACTGGACTGTCTCTGCCAGTGGGAAAACCCCAGAGGGGCTCTGGTTATGTGAAGTTATCACTGCTTTGAATGAAACACCCAAAGCTATACAAAGCTGTATTTCACAGTTGTATTTTTGGCTTCTGCCATGCAGCAGCACAAGGCATCTTCTGTCTTTTACTGGTGTTAATAGTTTAATCTGAAAGTGACTCAGACTTCTGTAGGAAAGGAACATTCCTCATGTATTTCCACTTTGCTTTTCTGCTGCTGCAGGCATACCTGATCAACAAGGGGCCTATTGAGGCTCCCTTCAAACTCATCCCTCCAACCACAGCCATGGGCTCCTGCTTCACCTTCCTGCCCCAGGAGGGCATCGTGGCACCAGAGAAGCTCCAGGCCATCCGGGTCTCCTTCTGTCCCACCATCCGGGGGGAGTTTGAGGAACAATTCTGCTTCCATGTGGCTGAATCCCCTAAGCCTGTGATCTTCACTGTCAGGTGAGGAGGGCTTTGGGAGCTTGTTGGGCACATCTGTAGCTGTCTCTGGGTAATCATCTTCCATCTGCCTCATTTTGTGGTGGAGCAGAGAAAAAAGGTGTTGCCTGAGGTGGCTCTGGCTCTGGCATCCCTTTAGCGTGAGGCTGCCTGCTGCCCTGTGTGGTACCCAGGAGCTGCAATGACTCCTCCCTGCGGGGATGGCTCCTGCTTAGGCTGTTGCAGGCAGTGGGATGGATCAGCTTTGGGCAGCAGCTGCTCTGGGATGTCCCACCTGAACACCAAGCAAGGCCCGCAGGGCTTTGAGATGGACCAGCCTGGGTGATTCTGCAGCAGCAGAAGTGTTTGTAAAAACTCCTGTTCATAATCCCTGCCAGATGGGCAGCAGCAGCCTCAGCTCCCCTCTCCCAGCCATGCTGTGGGGACAAGCTGTGCTCCCAGCTCCTGTGCACAGAGGGCTCTGGTGCCTCCTTTGCACAGCCAGCAAAGGGCTGATGTGGGAGTCAGGAACTGTGCAGCAGGAACTGTGCCAAGGACTGGGGCATCTGTCAGCTGCTGAGCACTTTGCTTTGGCTGCCTCCTGCCCCCGTGGGTGCTGTGCTGAGCACAGGGTGCTGGGGTGATTTGAAACCCAGGGTGGCTCTGACAGCAGCATTTATCCACCCTCTCCCTAAGGACACCCAAACCCTTTGTGATTGCCTTTAACAGAGGCACTGCCTCCCTGCCTTTGTCCCTGCAGGGGCTCTGTGATGGGACCCACTTTCCATTTTGATGTGCCCGCCCTGCACTTCGGTGACATCGCCTTTGGTGAGTGTGCCCTGGGCTGGCACCACAGTGTCAGAGCTTGCTGTGGTGCTGAAATGGAGCCCTTGAACATAAGAGCATTCATCACTCGTGTTCCTCCACCACAGCCTCTTCAGGGTGTTCATTCCAGGGCTGCTGGTGCCTCAGGTACCCTTTTGCCATCATGAGATCCAACAGGACCAAAGGAATAAAAAGTCAGCATCACTGTTTGGCCACTTCTTGTTTCCCTTTTAGTAAGTGGCACAATAAAGAAAGGCACCAGGCAGGAATATGGTTCTGTAATAGATTCATCCTGCTTAATCTGATTTCATTCCTAAGGTTTCTTCAGCTGGGGGCAGCTCTTTTATCTTTGTTTCTTTAAACTGTGCTGCTGAATGTTGTCTGCATGTGTTACCTCAGTGGCATTTGAGAGCGTGACATCCTTTTTGTGCCTCTCCTGCCTCCCTGCTGCAGTCACTGTTGATGGGCATGGAGAAGCCCTGGGCTGTGCCTGCAGTTGGTTTTTCCTCCCCATCTGGGTTTAAATGACTCTTGGTAAGCAGGCTGGGAGATGTCTGCTCCACACATAGCTGGCCAGCCAAGCCGTAGATCCACTACAATGAGCTGTAGTTCAGATAACAAAGAAGTAAAATCCAAGCACAGTTTTATCCTACCAGCAGGATATTCACACCAGGAATCACGAGGTATTGATGCCTAAATGGGGATTTGTGTCATTTTCTTAGGTTTTCCTCACACCTTGAAGTGTTGCCTGTTTAACACCTCCCTGACACCCATGGGCTTCTCCCTCTACATTCCTGGGGATGGCTTGGGAGTGCCCAGTGTTAGCAGCACTACTCAGATAGGAAAACCCAGCAGCCAGTTGTGGAGGAAGGAAGTTCAAGTTCTGATAAAGCCACAGGAATTTACCATCAATCCCCCCAGCGGGACCGTCCGTGCCCTGGGATCCCAGGATATCAAGGTATGGGAAGAGTCCAGCTGCTGGGGCTGAGGCTTCACTGGAGTGTGGGAGGGCTTTAGCTCTGGTGCCAGCTTTGAGCATCCTGGGAGTGAGAGATCTGCACTGCTGGGAGGCCTCTGCTAGCTGGGTTACCCAGGATGTTCCTCAGGAACACTGTTTTGTTTCCAAAATCCTGCACTGAGATCAATACCATATGGTCAAGTCCTGAAGCCATTCTTGTGTTTTTGAGAACAATTTATTTGATTGCAAGTGGGCAGAGGAAGGATGAAAACAGAAAGTTGCTGTTAAAGAGAGAGATATCATTGTGGAAAGCAGTTTTCTTTTCTTCCTGGTCTTGTTTCTCATCTCCTGGGCAGCAGATGAGTTGTATTCACTGCAGGAATCTTCAGTGGGGACAGAAAATACTCTGCAGCCACAAACTGCCCAGCATGTGCTGGGCCACACTCTGCCCTCAGCTTCCTGCTATAAGGCTGGACTTGTTCCATTCAAGACAACAGACTTCTTCTGCATTTATGTCATTGTAGTCAGGTGAAAAATTAGTCCCTTTAGCAAATCTCATATTGCCAGAGGGCTTTTCTTACTCTCAAAGACTGCTGCTCTACTTATGGACCAGCAGAAGAATTAAAGGACAATTCTCCCTTTGTCTACCATGGAACAAGAGCTGGAGGACAGCACACATGGGTAATGAGAATTTTGGGAGTTAGCAAATACTTGCTGCACTTCATTTCTTTTCTGCCAGGTCACCCTGTGTCCCAACACTGTTGGGGACTACAATCTGGAGCTGGTGCTGGACGCGGAAGATGTTGGCAGGAAGGTGTTTGCACTGCCCCTCACAGCCAGGTACCAACACCTTTCCTGCACCTGCTTGTCTTTGCTCGTGCATCCAGCACCAGCACACTGCCTGGCTGCAGCTCCAAAGGAGCAGTGCTGCTTCATGAGCTGGATCTGCCCATCTAGACATGAGAACAGTGCCAGGAAAGCAGCCCTTAGTGAGATACCCCCCTGCTCACAGCCAGCCATGGCCCTAGGCCTTTTTCTAAAGGGAGAAGGAATAACATTAATTGTTGGCCTGGGCTTTGGTGCTTGAGCTGGAACAAATTTCCAAAGGCTTGCCTGCCCTTCTTCCTGCAAGTGGTGAACTTATGCTGGCTTGTGACCACCCTGCAGCAGTGGTTTGGAACACAGTGAGCAGCCTGCTGAGAGCTGGGGTCTGGGTCCCTTCAGCAGTACATGTGCAGTGGGGAAGAGGCTCCAGGCAGGAGTGGGGAGAGCAAAAGGCCTTACAAAGAGGACTGTAGTCCTTGATGTGGCAGGTCACCTCAGCTTTCACTGCTTCCCTCTGGCTCTATTGAGTCATGTTCTCAGAGCTGAGACCAAAAGTTGTTCTTGCTGCAGCAGAATTTCACCCTGCTGTGCTGCTGTGGGTGTCAGTTTAGTGCCAAGAGGGATGCAGTTCCCTGGTGCTGTTCCCTCTCCCAGGCAGAGCCATCCAGTCAGTGCCTGGGCTGCCCTTTTGTAAAGCAAGCACAAATGGGGACAGTCAGTGTAGAGATCCATGGGGGAAGGAATTGAGGGAGCTCTAGGAACTGGAAGAAGTTGATCAGCTGCACTGTGGGCCTTGTGCCCTCCACCGCTGGAAGAGATGATTCAGTTTTCAGGCAGGACAACAGTGCTGGAGGAGAAAAGGGAGTCATTATCACTGATACACTGGAGTCTTGTGTTCCTTGAGCCTTGGTGGGTACTGGTCCTCACTGGAAAGGCTCCCCCAGAGCTCAGGGACCACTGGCACTGTTACAGGAGCCCTTGCAAGTATCCTTGGGCAGAGAAGGTGCAACACTGCTAAGACAGCTCTGGACTACTGTAGGACTGCTCTACTACTCTACTCTGTTAGATTTGCAAATACCTTACACTCCCTTGTATGCTCTTGGAGGACAAAAGTTCTCCATGCTCCCAGTGTCTCTCATTCCCCTGGGGTCATTTCTTTGCCCAGGTGCATCGTTCCTACACTGCGAGTGCTCAACCCTGTCGTGGAACTGGGGCACTGCTGCTTGAAGGTGCTCTATGATGAGAAGGTGACCCTGGTGAATGACAGTGACTTCCCTGGCTGCTACTGTCTTCTCCCTCAGGTTTGGCCTTGCATCCATCTCCTCCCCTCAAATGTTACTGGGGGGGTTATTAGGGGAATAAATGGGTTTGGATAAGACCTTGCTGGTTTCTATTCAAAGCTAAAGGTTTTCTGAGAACAGGAACCTAAATACAAACTTTAGGAAGCAGTTTAACATCTTGAGGAAGGTGTTTAGAGTCTAGTCCTTGACTAGTTTTCAAGTGGCAGAGCTTCGAGGGCTGTGAAAATCTGATGCAAGGAAGCTGTCAGCAGCCAAGGGAGTGTTTGTGGATGCAGCAGCTTTTGGACCCCTGGGGATGCTGAGCACCTACACCTTGCATCTTGGTTTTTGCCTTCTTGCTTTCTCTTGAGAATTTTTACGAGCGTGTGGGAGTTGCACTTGTGGTAGAGGTTAAGGAGTTTAAAGTTTCCTCAGTTCTGAAGATGCCTTTGATTCTGTCCCTGCCAGGAACACAAGGAGGAGGCTGCTGCGTGGTACTACAGCCTTGCACCCTCTGGGATTATCGAGGCTCACAGCTCGGTGCAGATCCCAATTACACTCCAGGCCCAGTTGCTGGGAAAGTGCAGCCTCACTGCCAAGCTGGCCATGTTTGGAAGACCAGAATCCCCACTGGTGAGAGCAAGGGGACTTGTGTGCCTTGAGCAACTCCTCCCAGTGGGGTTAAACTGCACAGGGATTCTTCCAGGAGCTTGTGATTTATGGCTGGTGTGGACAAGGACAGAGGGGACTGGTGGCACAAGCAGCAGCTCATGCCTAGGAAAGAGGAAGAGTGGAAGCCTCACAGGTGGCAATCTGAGTGCCTGACCCAGCATAGAGTTACAAATCTGGGAGACGGGATAACAAGCCCAGGCTGAGACCCAAACCAGTCCCTGGGTCTCATACTCTACCATGTTATCAGATGAACACAAGTGCTGCTTCATTACAGCTGTTCAGCATCACATCCCTGAATCCTGCTAAAGCAAGCACTGTTTGCTAAAGGAATGTTTTGTGCAGAGCTGGACTGAGGCTTCTCTGAAAGCCAGGTCCCTCAGGCCTGAGAAATACCCAGCATATCTCCTCAAGAAAAGCCCAGCCAAAACCAAATGAATGCCCACACAACTTGCATCTGGAGCACAGGCTTTGCTTGTTTTTTCCACCAAGTTTGGAAATGGATAAGGCAAGCAATTTCCCGAACTAAAGCCTCCTAAAAGAGGACTCTGAAGATTCTGAAGAAGATTCTAAGGATTGTAAAGAAGATTCTAAAAGAGCTCCTAAAAGAGGCACATATCATAACAGCAAGTGACTACAAAATACAGGCCCAGTCTGCCAGACATGGATGCTCTTCATCCCTCCACAGTCTGCTTTGTGCCATGAGCACCCCACAAAGGCAGCAGTGCTGCAGGATGTGGATGTGTGTGTGTAGCAGCAACACTGAAGACAAAGCTGCTGTCTGCTTTTATTCTCCCTCCTGTGTGTCACACTGCCTGTGACACTGCTGAGCAGGACTGCTCTTGTCCCTTTTAAGAATCCTGTAGATGAAGGGCTTGTGTGTTTTTATAAGCCTTTTCCTCAGTGAGGATCTGTCCCATTGTCACACCCCAACTGAAGCTGGGTCAGGCATCCTCCAGGTGCTACTCTGCTCATCTCCAAAGGGCTCCACCCTGCCTCTGCTGCTTCTATCCCATTGTCACCTAGAAGCAAAGCCAGCTGGTGAGGCACAGCTCCTCCCTCCAGCTTCTTCCTCCAGGGAGCCTTGGGCAGTATGAGCCAGGCTGCAGCCCCCTGGGCCTCCCTTCTCCCAGAGGAATACAAGATCCCTCATCATGCAGGGCTTTAGTTCCTTATTCTTGAGGTACCAGCCATGGTACATAGTTTCTGGCTCTTCTTTGCACAGGCATGCATGTCCCAAAGGGATGTGCATTTCTGGATGCTGCTCCTTCTGACTGAAGGTAATTCTGGCAGCTGTCAATGCCATTCCCTCAAGTCAGACATCACAAAAGGTTTTACATCATAGAGGCTGGTTTCTTCTGTGGTTAAATCATACTCCAAGCCCTCCAGCGAATCTTGTTCGTGTTGTGAGTTGTATGCATTTAATTCTTGTGTAAGAGTTGGGGTATTTAGGACCAGTGAAATACAACAAGACTGAATAAATTGTCCTGGTTTCCACTGGTGTGAGCAGGTAGTTTAGCAAAGGGATCCATTTTCCTTGTCCCACCATCTGTGCCATTTCTGCAAGAACAATCCTTTTGAGTTTCAGACTATGAAGTCAGTTCAGACTTTTTTTTAAGGACAAAATACTGCTTGAATGATGCAACTACTAATTGATGCCCCTTACTCATATATATGAAGATTACACATCAGCACAAATTGAAGGCAGCTAACTTGCCTCATCTCCACTCTGAAGAGCCTGCCTTGCTTCTGGCTCATGCTGCTTTCACCAGTGCAGCTTTTTGAATTGTAAAGAACTTAGTGTTCAAGGATGGCTGTGCAGCAGCAAAAGTTGGGAAGGTGCTTTGGGCCAAGGTGGAGCATTTGAATGAAGCAGGCAGGAGGTAAAGGAAAGAGCCATGTGGAAGAGGTGTGAAGAAGCAAGCAGGGCAAACAGAAGTGCTTTGTCCTCTGATGATGGGGGCTTGTGGCTTTCAGGTGGGATCTCTGCAGACCCCACACTTGCTCCAGGCCTTCTGTTTCAGTCTGCACCACTGACAACTTCCAAAGGCCATCATTGGCCCCAATCTAGGAATGCTCTTAGAGCTGGCTGTTTTTTTTAAAACTGCCTTTGTTGCATCTTTTTTTTGACCTTTCCTACCTTCTTCCTGGAACAGGAAATCCGTTTAGAGTGCGTTGGCCAGGGCCCCGTTGTCTATGTCCATCCCAGGGAGATAAACTTCGGCTCTATCCCAGTCCTAGAGGATTGTTCCAAAACTCTCCACCTCGCCAATCAGTGTGAGATTCCTGCAACCTTCCAGGTGGAGCTGGTAAGTGTTTGTGGGGCTGTTTTCCAGGGACAGGTGCTGGTTACCAGCAGCCCTTGACTTGTTTTTTGTATGTAGTGTTTCTGTATTGTTCTGTGTGAGTGGAAGAAAGATATTCCATCCAAGTGCAAGCAAGAGGAGCCAGGATCTCAGGCATGCCTCTGTGAAATAGTTTGCAAAGAGACTGGAGCAGAAATGAGTCTGGATCATGTTTGCAAGTTCTCTCTTTATTTTATGGAAAATACTGAGCTGTGCAAGTCATGTTTTTGGAGCTCTGAGATCAAGAGAAGCCTGTGGCCCTTTGCTCCTAAGAGGGCATGGATTTCCCCATGGACTCCCCATTCCATCTGCATTTGTTTGTGCCAGACTTGTGTTAATGGCAGAAAGCAGGGTGTGAGATCTGCCCTCAAACTGCTCACGAGGAGGCAAGTTTCACAACTCCTGTGGGTCAAACCAGTGGTGCTGTTGCAAACAAATGCACCTGTGAGGGTTGTGCACCCCCAGAGCCTGTGGTCTCTGTAGCACTGCAGAATGGCTCTGGAGATCACCTGCAGAGAAGGTTGTTTCATTCCTGGAGGTTACACAGGGGGACAAGCTGCAGGGCTGGAGCTGCAGCTGCTCCTCTGGCAGGAGGAGCAGCCAGGAAGGGTACGTGGCTTGGGGCTGAGTGGGATGTGCTCCCTGCTGGAGGGGGCATCTGTGGAAGGCTTGAAAAAAGCTTTGAAAAGAGATTTGATTTTCTGTGTATTGGATGAGTTCAACTTCTGGAGCTGGTTAAAGCCAATCCTGATCAAGTGGACTTGTTTGTATTTGTGGATAAATCATCAGGTGTTGTGCGAGAGTTCAGGCTCAGCCTCCTGGGCCAAGGAGGAGGGGCGTGAATTTTCCTCTTGCTGCTTTTCCAGCTGTTTAGGAGTTAAACATTATCTGAAAGTGGAGGACTGGCAGGGCAGTTTTTCCTGACTCCACAATGGAGTTCTGCTTTCAGCCTCTGCAGGGAGCAGTGCACCTTGGCTGGGTGCTCATGGTGTGTAAAGGTTGGGTTTCACATGCTCCTGCCAGGGCCAGACCTGCAGAGCTGTGTCTGTACAGCTGTGCTGGTGCAAGGCCTTTCCCCCTCCTTTGGGCACCTTCCAGCTCCCTTGCTCAGTCCATGAAGTCCATGAGAAAGCAGATGACAAGAGCTCTTGGGAAGAGTGGGCCATGCCCACAGAGCACATGTTGTCCAGTTTTCTTTCTGCTTCCTGCTTTCCTGCTCTGCTAGAAGCACTTAGAGGTGACTTTTCCAAAGCAGAGGGCCCTGGGGCACCTCCCTACAGCTGATGATTGGTGGGGAGTGAGGGCTTCAGTCCTTTAGGGGTGTTGAGAAGCACTGATGGCCCCTTGGGAAAGGAGATTTGGGATTTTGCTCAGCTGGCTTTGCAGAGTGATTCTACAGGCTCTCAGCAGTGTCCTCCAGCTGTGTGGCTGCTGGGCTGGGATTTGAGCAGTCCTGCCTTCCTCCAGCCATGAGCCTTTGTGCACACCCAGCTCCGCTGCCAGGAAGCCAGCAGGGAGTAAACAGCTTTCCTTGGCAAGCATTCCAAAGAGAGCCAGCAGGGGGAATTACCTTCTCCTGAGGAGGAGTTTCCTTGGGTTGAGCAAAACAGGGCTAATGACCTGAGTATGTTAAAGGAAGGTAAAATACAGGTTGTATAAGCTCTTGGGGAGTTGCTGTGCTGGACACCATAGCTTACATTTAGGGAAATTAAACGTTTATGGTTTTTATACTCATCTCTTTAGCCTTCCCGTTTTCTGCACCTCACAGCAGAGCAGGGTCCATGGCTTCCATCTAACTTTGTGTTTGGCTTTTCCTACAGGCTGTGGAACGTTCCTGCTGGAGGATTGAGCCCAGCAAAGGAGTGGTCCCCCCACGTTCTGAGGTGTCCGTGGCTATCGTAGCTAACCTGAATGACACAGTGAAATTCCAGGAGAAGGTGAAGGTGTTAATTGAGAACAACCCTGTGACCATCATCTCTCTCCAGGCTGTGGGCATTGGCACCACAGTTGTCACGGACAAACCTCTCGTTCCAAAGCTCGACTTGAAGTCCTGCTTCAGGTAGGAGACTCTAGAAACTTCCACATCTCCTGTGTGTTCAGCAAGGAACAATTTTTCCATAGCCCTTCAGGCTAGATCTTCAGTACTCAAGGTCCCAGCTCTGTTTCCATGAAACCACAGGAATTATTTAGAAATATGTCAAATATCAAGATATCCTGGAAAGCCACAGAAATGGAAAAGCTGGAAGATCTGGCAGGACTGAAGCTTTGAGCCTGGGCAGCCTTTTGGGCAGAGGTTTTATTGCAGAGTGCGCAGTCAGGGAATGCCATCAGGGTGAAGCTGAAGCTGAGTGATGCCAGGGAAATAGCAGCTCCCGTGACATTTTCCATCTCTCTTCTCTTGCAGCTTTAGTCGCTGCTTTTACCACTTCCAGCTGACGAACAGAGGCCGCCGCACGCAGCGGCTCTACTGGAGCACGGAAGGGTTCCGCACCTTCCGCCGCAGCGCTCGGGCCCCGGCCCCCGCGGGCACCCAGGGCAAAGGGGCTCCCCCCATGCCCAGGCCTGGCAGCCCCGTGTTCAAGCTGTGCCCAGTGCAGGTGGACCTGAGGCCGGGCCAGACTGTGGACATGGTGCTGGAAGGCTGCTCCAGCACTGTCCAGGTGAGGCCCTGCCCAGGGCTGAGCCTTCCCATCAGATCCCCCCCACTGCAGCTTCTTCTGCAGCCCCTTGACACTGGCCTGGCACAAGGAGCAAGTGACTTCAAGAAACTGTTTCAAGGCCAGTTGCTTTCCTTCCTGGCCACCATCAGTTGTAAAGGCTCTTTTGTGTTTCCCTAGCTACCATAAACCCAACTTGCTGATCCCAAAATACAGACTGAAGGAAGTACTGCTCCTTTAGGCAAACAGGGCTTACCTGTGTCATGTGCTGAGGCAGAAAGGGAGAGCAGAGAAAAGAAGTTGCACTTAGGCTAGAAGCCCAGGCAGGAAGCAAATTAAACTACTGTCAAGTGCTTTTTCTGAGGGAAAAACCCTTTACCCAGGCAGTAAAACAAATGCCCTGGGAATAGCAGGAGCATCTGGGAGCAGCATTGCTTTTCCTCTGAAGACAAACCTGGGCACAGGGCTGCTCTAGTTATCAGTCCTGGAGGGGGAAAACATAGTGTGCTAGCTCTAATGATCAGTGCAATGTCCATCCAGGCAGGAAACTGTTCACAGGGATCATCAGAATTGACAATTTGACTTTGGTCAACTTTTCTATCACTGCTTGCCCCAGTCTCTCAGCCAGCCCTGGTGTCCCAGGGACAGCCAGGTTCTGCAGCACCCCTGGAGAGCAACTCAGAGGGGGAGATTTTAGCAGAGTCTGGGAGTGTTCTCCTACCTGGACTGTTCTTTCCAGGGGAAATGAAACTCTGCAGAGAAGCTGCCAGCTAAGTCTGGTATGCATTCCCTGGCTCCAGGACCCCTGGGCAGAGATATTTAGAATAAATAGATGGCAGCACAGAAAGAAAAGAGAGCTGTTGAGGAGAGCAGAGACTAATTTCAGTCCCTAATAACAAGTGGCAGGAATGGGGCCCATGGGTGGGTGGCAAGGCAGTGTGGGGTGTAGGGCCTGCCAGCACACACTGGGACACAAGGGAATTTTGTGTGCAGGAGGTGAAGGAGCGGCTGCTGTGCCACGCTGTGGTGGGGAAAGAGACAGCAAAGAAACAGATCCTGCAAACGGATGTCATCTGCAACTTCATCTGCCCTGCAGTGCAAATGTCCCCCAGAGCCATCGCTTTCCGTGTGGAAAAGGTAAAGTCACCCCATTGCATCCTGGCATTAAAAGGTGTAACTCTTAAATTGGCTGGAAGTAAATAGAAATATATGCACTTTTGGGGCTGAAAAATGTGAAATGCATTGGAAAGGGAAGGAGGTCTATGGCACTTGAGGTTGTGTTCCCTTGTCTCCTGTTTCTGTAGAAACCCAGTGATGTCCTGAAACTGCAGTACCAGCCGCTGACATTAAAAAACACCAGCTCCCTGCCATTCAGCGTGGTGCTGGACTTGGAGCAGCCCTTCCTGGTCTGCAATGTGAACCAGAAGCCCCTCCCTGCAAATTGCAAGGTGAGCCTCTGTGGGCTCGTGCAGTGGGGTTTGAGGAGGAGGGATGTGGTGCTGCACTTCTGCTGGGAGCTCCTCAAGTTGAGAAGCTCATTCTGTAGTGTCAGCAGTGGATTGGCCTGAACTGAATCAGCAGAGCTGCTGAAGGAATCAAAATCTTATCTGAATTGGTAACATGCATGCTGGCTCTAAAACATGAGGAGAGGGGAGCGGGAAAGCAGATTGAGGCAAGGCATGCAGTAAAGGTGTCTCCTGGAAAGCATGCCAGCTCTCCAGCAGCCACCCCCTTGGACTGGGGCTGAGCACAGCAACGGGAGCCTGAGGGATCCTGGACTGGACTGTGGTGCCTGCAGTCAGACCCCTGCTGTAGAGAGATGAACCATGAACTGAGGAGCCCATGCTGGAGTCACTTGGAGCATTTACTGTTTGCTGCTGTCAGGCCTTGGGACATCATCCCACAGGTGATTAATTACTGCTCATCTCCTTGCAGCCTTTGACAGTGGGTGTAGGGAAGGAACTTCATCTCTGCATCCGCTTTAACCCAGCTTATAAGAACAATCTGATCAGCTGGGTGATAAAGAAGGTTCTCAGGGTGAGCTTCATGGAGCATCCTCATGTGGAGAAGATCCCTCTTCGGGGGGAAGTCTACTTCCCAAATCTCCACCTCCCCACCAAGGCCGTGGACTTTGGCTGCATCATAAATGACACTGAACAAGAGTTGAATATGGAGATGACCAACTGCAGCCCACTCCCTGTCAACTACCACTGGTCATTCCTGACAGACAGCCAGGTGAACACCATCAGGTATGAGCATCATCACCCCCGTGCTGCTCCCAGCATGGAGCTGCTCCAGCCTGGCTCTGAGTGGCTGTCACTGAGCTCAGCACACCAGCACCCAGCCAGGGGCTGCAGCGCAGTGAGGAGCTGCTCTTGCAGGCACCTCTCTCCCCCACTACAGGCCCACCATCACAGTTATGTTATTTTCCAGGTTCATCCCTTCACCACCTAAATTCAAGCCACGGTTTTCAAAGAAGAGGAGAGTGTTTCTACGGAGATACTCCAGGACTGTAAGCGTGGAGGAGCCGACTGAAACCCCAGAAACAAGGCAGGATTTTGTCCAGGAGGATTCTGCCCTGGAGGATTCTGCCCTGGAGGATCCTGCCCTGGAGGATTCTGCCCTGGAGGGTCCTGCCCTGGAGGATTCTGTCCTGGAGGATTCTGCCCTGGAGGATTCCGCCCTGGAGGATCCTGCTCAGGAAGGTCCTGCCCAGGAGGATGCTGCCCTGGAGGATCCTGCTCAGGAGGATCCTGCTCAAGAGGACTCCTACCAGGAGGATTCTGCTCAGGAGGACTCTGACCAGGAGCCAGAAGATGCAGAACATTCCCTGAAATCAGAGGTGGATTTTCTTGTGCACCTACCACTTGCTTTGCCTCCTCTCAACTTGCCACCAAAAAGTCATACTCATGCCAACCTCCCTTTTTGCTGCCCTTCTGTCCTGTGCCCTGAAAGTAGCAGTTGGACATGGGGGTCTGGGGAGGTGGAAATAGGAAAGTTTTGCTCCGAGAAGCTCACTCAGATCCTACAGACCTATGATGACTTTGGGATTTTTTGGCTTAATTTCTTTACAATGTAAAATGAGGTCTTTATCTGCATCATGATGAGAGGGCTTCCAGCTTCCCATGTATGTCAGTCCATGAAGAGTCCTGATCTCCACGTAGCCCCTTCCAAACCCAGCTAGGGCACTCACATCTGTGCCTTCACCCAAAAGCTGGTATTGCAGTGACAGCTCCAGAGCTGGCTTTTGTAAAGCAAGACTTTGCAAAGTCACTGTCTCTTCCTCCAAACAAGGAAAAAGGCCTTTGATCTGTCTGGTGAACATTAGTACTTTGGAGTGGGAAGTGGCCCCTTGTTGTGCATCAGGGGGAACAGAGGCTGCTCATGGGGCAATTAAAAAAAAAGATGTAAGGAAGCAGAAGAGTTTCTCAAAAGCCCAGTGTTGGCATTAAGTTTTTGGAGAAGGGTTGTACCTGCTCACACACAAATACCAGTTGTTTCTACACTGCACAGTTTTTCTGAATCAGGAGAAACAAAGCCCTATATGAACAGTGTGGCTGAATGTTTTCAAATAGAAGCAAAAATTATCTCTATTTCCTGGTTGTTGCCATGTATGCACAAGCAAACCAGGGAAATTCAAGTGGCCATCCTGGAATCCTGGAATGGTTTGGCTTGGAAGGGACTTTCAGAGACTATGTAGTTCCAGCCCTCCCTGCCTGAGTGCTGGGGGCACCCAGTTCCCTCAGGCAAGTTTGATGTACCAAGTGCAGATGGAGCCCAGGTCTCATCTGTGGCTGGCCTTGGACCCACACTCGACTGATGGCCTGGACATTGTCACCCTTGGTTTGTGCCCAGGCCCCTTTCCAGCTGCTCCTGGTGTGGGAGGTGCTGGAGCCTGCAGCAGAGTGATCTTGCTCACAGCAGCCAGCTCACTGCAGCCTGTGGTGCTTTTTCCAGGGGCTGTCATCCACTCCTGGGGCGTCTCAGAGGCCAGTGAGGATGAGGGGACTGAGCTGGTTCTCAGAGATGGAGCACCCCAAGCTGGGAATGCAGGAGGTAAGTGGGAATTTGTCTCACATCCATGTTTCCAGTGTGGGAGGTGGTTCTGTAGCCCCAGTGCCACTGGTGGCCCTCAGCAGTGCTCACAGAGGGGCCTCACATCCCTCCCAGTCCATCACAAAGCTCTGCTGAAGCCAGTGGTTGCTGGAGAGGCCATGTGGGATGTTTTGTAGGGCTGCCCCAGGATGCTCCCTGTGCAGCCCCTGTGGAGGGCATTGCTCCCATTTACCTCATCAGGTGGTTTTCAGGACATTTTTGTAGGAACTTTGGCTGTAGCAGCCTGAGAGAACAGCACATAAAGTCAGAGAGAGGGAGAAAGGCCTCAGAAGTCAGATGAGCCTTCCCCCAGCTCCAAGGGCTCCCACCTCCAAGTCTCCTGGTTTTCTGAAGACAGTGAGAAGTGTTTCCAAAGACAAGTTCTGCAGCAGAGAGAATTTCTTGCTGCCAGGAGACATTCTGGTTGACTTTAATGTAGTCTATACTCATGGATAAATGATTATGGGAGAAGATTTTCCCCATGGTCTCTCCACTGGTCAGTGGCATGGACACAGGATGAGATTAGGGTGATTCTGGCTGTGTTTGGGGAATAGGCCCCTCCGGCTGTGACTCTGCTTTATTTCAGGACACAGCTGCTCTTCTGCATCCATTTCCACTCTCACCATCTCCATCTGCCCTCCCTGCAGGTTTTTGATGTGCGGCCGCTGTGGGGTGAGCTGCAGCCAGGAGAGAGCGAGCAGGTCACCTTCACCTTCTTTGGGCACGCCAACGTGGTGGCGCGTGTCCGGGCGCTGTGCCACGTGCAGGGAGGCCCCAGCTACGAGGTGGTGCTGACCGGGGAGGCCTCGTGCCCCAGCTACCAGCTGGACCTGCAGGAGATTGACTGGGGGCTGCAGGTACCACAGGCTGCTCCTGCCTTGGCTGGCGTCGTGGCCACCTCCATCCCAGGCTCTGTCCCCCTCTCGGCTCCTCTGCTGGCTCTGGGGCTGGGAACACAACCTGTGAGAGACAGTCCAGCATCCCAGCTGGTTTGAAATGGCCATCCCCACCCCTCCCTCCCTTGCCCTGGCTGAGGGACAGGACACTGTCCTCTCCAAGGCACCTGACCCTGCCTCCTGGGGAGCACAAGGCTCCCAGGGAAGATGTCCAGAGGGACCTGTCCCTGGGATACCCCCCCACTGATCTGCTCCTAAAGCTTGAGCTCCAAGGAGATGCTCTTGTCAAATGCTCTGGCTTGATCCACAAAATCGTCCAGGGAGGAACTTGGGCTTTCAGTCACTTCAGTACCTGAAAACAATGTCCCACAATAATCCCCACTTTACTTCTTTTCACTTTAAAGTCCACAGATACTTCCAGTTGCTGGCACTGCCTGTGTTGTCCTGTGTGTCTCTCTTGTCACCTGTCTGTTTCTTGCCAATATTTGCATGCAGCTGCCTTTTCTTCTGGAATGCCTCTCAGAAATGCACTGACTTTTAGATACAATTCAATGGGGACAAAGTTGTCAAAGCAAAACAAAACTGTTCATTAGTAACAATTCAGCCGAGCTGGGTGTGTGTCTCCCTGTCCCCGGAGAGGAGCAAACACACCCTCCAACAAAAAGGCAATCTTTGTATCCCCTCTGTACCTAGCTGGGACAGTCCCTGGCCCCTTTCCCCTTGGAGGGGCACTCAGGAACTTTCATTCTCTCTGACCACCAACTTTTCTGTCCCCTCCCCTCTCATCCTCCTTCCTTTTGGTCATGTCTTCAACCCTGTCCCTCTGCCAGCTCACAGCAACACCCAACAAACCAACCTGAACAAATCCAAACTGCAAACAGCAACATGCAGAACCAACAACTTCCATTCTTTAGCTCCATAAGCTTTTGGCTTCATCTCACACATCTCAGTGCCACCTCCTCTGTTTCTCCTGGCTGTTGGTGGCCCCTCAGAGTGCAGAGGACCTGGTCCCCTGGTTCATTTATTGCTGGCCTTTCCGAGGCTTTAACACCTCTCTGTAGTTGTGGGGTTGCACTGTGGCTGTGTGCTTCCAGTGCCATGAAAGAGGCAGGAGGTTGCCAGCATCAGGCCTGTGTCTGTAACTTCTCCCTGCTCTGTCCTCTCTGCAGAGGTTTAACAAAGTCCTCAAAGCACAGGTGACCCTGCGGAACACCGGCGTCATGGAATTCACCTTCGTGGTGCCAAACTGCAGCACTGGCACTGCAGCAAAGCCTCTGCCTGGAGTGCCCGTGGTCGTGCCCACCACAGTGAGTAGCACAAGTCATTGCCTCTGGCCCTCTGTCAGGCAGCCCAGGAGAGAATTAAAGGAAAAAAGGGGGGAAAAGAGGGAAAAAAATGGGGGAAACCCCCCAGCCATGCTGGGGCTGCAGCCCTGCGAAGGCTCAGGAGCACACACTGCACCCCAGGGGTGGAGATGCCAGCTTTTGGGCACAAGGAAGGTAGAAAGTGATGTGGTCTGATGGTTACTTCTGGATGAGAACCTGTCCCCTCAGCCTGTCTGTCCCCTGAGCCATCCC